CCGTGGTGCCCCTGCCTGTGGGAGCCGAGCTGGAGGCAGGGGAGCTGGCGTTGGGGCCGTGGCCCACCCCCTCCGGGTTTGCATGCTTTCTTCCGCTCCTCACTCCAGAGATTTCCAAACACTCAGGAGGAGAGAAGGTGCGATGACCCCGTCCCATGCATCTGTCTCCAGCCCCAACTCCGACGCCCTCAGCCCAGGCACGTTCCCCAGGTGGTCCCATGTCGCCTGTCACATGGCAGAAGGGCTCCTGGCAACAGAGCCTCGCCTAGTCAATGCTCACCCTCCATTCTCCCAGGAAACTGCTGACATGTAACTGTCCGTGTCCCACCAACACGCACACGCACACACACACATGCGCACGCATGTGCATGTGCACACAGGCTTGCACGGCACACATGTGCCCACATGCACACGGCTGGGCATCTCATCCCCAGGCCCTATGGCCTGCACCCCATGGCCTGCACCCCACAGCCTGCACCTCATGACCTGAACCCCACTGTCTGCACCCCATGGCCTTCACCCCACGGCCTGCACCCCATGGCCTGTATCCCATGGCCTGTACCCCATGGCAGCACCCCATGGCCTGTACCCCACAGCCTGCACCCCACGGCAGCACCCCATGGCCTGTACCTCATGGCAGCACCCCACAGCCTGCACCCCATGGCCTGCACCCTATGGCCTGTACCCCATGGCCTGCACCCCATGGCCTGTATCCCATGGCCTGCACCCCACGGCCTGAACCCCATGGCAGCACCCCACAGCCTGTATCCCATGGCCTGAACCCCACAGCCTGCACCCCACAGCAGCATCCCACGGCAGCACCCCATGGCCTGCACCCCCGGGGAAGCTGGTGGGTGCCGGTGCTCTCACCCTGACGCCCGGGGCAGCCCGGGCAGGTTCGCCTGTGCTGTTCCCTGGGAGGGGGCTCCATCAGGGCTGCTCCTGGCGAAAGGGTCAGGTGGCAGCTGCGGGCCCCACGCAGATGTGCGGAGCCCCCGGGAGGACCACTGCCCATCCCAAGCTGAATGGGCACACCCTGTGGGGTGACCTCCTGGCACCCCCCGCTCCAGAGGAAGGCCCGAGCTCAGAGGCTGGTAGCTGGGGGGCTGGACCAGCTCTAAGACCGAGGACTGACAGACCCTGCTGGTCCCAGCTGGACCGCTGGCCCAAGAGCAGCGGACACCAAGTGACAATGACCACGGCTCCGGGCGGGGCACTCGACGGGAGGTGGCCGGGTTCCCTTGCACACCCTCCGCCGGTGAGACAGGGGCTGGGCGCTCTCCCCGG